TTGAGAGAACAGTTCCATAAAAAATATAATAATTATAATAAATAGTACTTTTTTTTCTTTCCGTAAAAGTGTTTTCTGTCTGGTTAACATTTACAATACTGTGTAAGGTTCTCTTTGGTGATTTTAAGAGAAGAAAACAGCACAAAACAGTCCAATCAAAATAAACCAGGTTTGTAAGACATTCTTATAGAGTGGCAGCACTCAGAATGAATGGTCTCAATAACTTTGTGCTAAATAAAATACCATCTGATACTGAGACATATTTGAGGGATATCATGATGTTGAATTTGATCGATATCGCCCAGCCCGGCTCTCCTGCTGAAACAGAAAGTGAAAGGAAATGACTAGTTGTAATATTTGAAGTAAAAGAAAAAGTAAAATAAAATGAAGGCCAGAGCTGCTTCATCAGCGTCTTTAACACTGCCGAATTACAGCTCACATCAAGAAGGATGTTCTTTACATTCAGACATTGTGTTGAAGAATAAATGATCAAGGTTAAAAAAAGGACAGAAATCATATTAATACTGAAGTGAATCCCCAGCCCTGCTTTCCCCTGTACCCTACTGTACTCCACTGTACTGTACTATATGCAAAATACTGTGTGTGTCTTAGAATATGAATGTGTCCCCTTTGCTCCTCAAATGAGTACTTAGTCTTCCTCTGTTGTCTGAGTCTGTAATTAAAATGATGAGTAAGTAAATAAATTATAAACTGATTTCAACCAAATGTATGCTTTGGTGTGATAAAATTGTTGTTATTATCTGTTTGGACCCAACTGAGGGAGATCAGATTACTGAAGGTCATTATGCTGTGATAAAATGAGATGTGTATTAAACGAGCTGCACACAGGCAATACAATCAAGAGATTTATCAGATTTAAACCTATTTTGATGCCATCACATCTCATGACAACATCAAACAACAAACAAAGAAACTCTTTTACAGCTAATATAATTCACTAACATGGTAACTCAGGGCTGTTGAGGGTCATTAGATTGTATCATATTTAAGCCTGTTACACAGCATTTGTGTTTGCATATTGAGGGTCAGTTTCCTGGACAGAGTTTAAAAGGGAATTTCACTGATTTTCCAGCCTTTCCATATAAATAATTCGCTAATATGTAATAAGGTCAGAGTGGTTTAATGCGAAATGCTCATTTCTAGAAAATTAGAATCAGAACTGGTCACAGTGGTGGTGATAGGAACCAGACGTCTGAAGAGTTTAATGTGACCTTACAGGAAGTTATTGCATAAAATGGTTAGGAATATATTGAGCCCCTGAAAGGACGTGGTGGGTTTTTTAGGTAAAAGGGACGTGGTGCATAATTTTTTAGATAAAATCTGGTGTGCACCAGATACTATCAGGTGAGCACGCAGTACTATCAAATGAGCACCAGATACTTTGTGGTGAGCACCTGATACTATGTGGTGAGCACCCAATAGTACCTCACCTGATAGTATTGGGTGCTCACCACATAGTATCTGGTGCTCACTGCATAGTATCTGGTGCTCACTTGATAGTATTGGGTGCTCCCTTGATAGTATCGGATGCGCACCTGATAGTATCGGGTGCTCACCAAATAATATCTGGTCCCTCCAGTTTTGGCCTAAAGCATAGTTTTCAAAGCCCATTCACAGTGGAGAGGTACATGTAGGGTACTGTAAGTCAAAATAGTCCACAAAGTGTCTGATTTATTGTTATTATTATTATTATTATTATTATTATTATTATTGTTGTTGTTGTTGTTGTTATAAACACTATACTATTAAAAAGATTGTTCTTCAAAGGTTCTTTAACAAAGAAAATATAGAACCATGAACACCACTACTAAACTAAAGAACCCTGTGCATGATTAAACGGTTCTTTGCATTGAGAAAGGGTTCTTCAGATGGATGAAGAATGTGCTGTAGATGGTTCTATATAGAACCTTTTTGAAAAGGGTTCTATAAAGCACCAAAAGTGGTTCTCCTATTGTTACAATGTCAAGCTTGTAATAATATAAGAATTCTTTTTGATGCTATATAGAACCATTTTCAAAAAGGTTCTTTATAGAACCATCTACATTCATACACGTTCTCTATCAGTCTGAAGAATCCTTTCAGGATGCAAAGAACCCTTTAATCATGAGAGGTGCTCTTTGAGTGTTAATGGTTCTATATAGAACCATTTTCTTTACTAAAGAACTTTTGAAGAACCATCATTTTTAAGTGTGTACCCATGAAATCTGACACGTGTAAGTTCACCGCTTGTTTTGAATAGTAAATAAAATGTCTATGTTTGTGTTGTGGACATGGTGACCACTGGTTCCTATCAGCACCACTGTAAAGAAATCAGAGTCGATAAGTTTCTCTACAATGAACCATTTCACACCAAACCTCTCTGAATGACTGTGTTTATGTCTCAATGATTGAATTGTAAAATTTTGGAAAAATTGGTGGAATTCCCCTTTAAGCCCACACAGGACTGCACAGCATTCTGAATGAAAATTCTTAATTGAAAGGAAAATATATCAGGACAAGCCTTAATCCCAGACCATGACACAAACCCAAAGAGCATATGTATTTAAATCAGTAATAAAGTGACTTCTGCTGATTTTTTTTTTCAAAATGTCTGCATAATTAAGTAATTAAGACGTAAACAAAGTCATTCAGAGTGGTTTGATGTGAAAAGCTCCATTTTAGAGAGACTCACCAAGTCAGGATTGTTCACAGTGGTGGTGATAGGAACCAGATGTCTGAAGACTTAAATAGATGTATGCTATTACATTCAGGCACGTTACATCACAGCCAGATAACATGAAATCCATATCTTGGGTGTGTGCATGGAAGAATGAACTTCCATGAGAGAACGTAAGACAAACAATTAAATAAATTAACTAATTTAATCCTCATTATTGTTTCATGCCATTAAAGGGGAACTCCACCGATTTTGCAAAATTACTCAATCGTTCAGTGGTTTAGATGTAAACAAAGTCATTCAGAGTGGTGTGGTGGGAAATGCGCCCTTCTAGAGAAGTTTACAGAGTCAGAAGTGTTCAGCATTATAGTACTAGGAACCAGACGTCTGAAGCATTTAATGGCTCTAAAAGCTACATCCCATTCAGTTATTACACAAATGGGTCTGAATGCATTGCTTGATGCTTGAGACATTGTTTTGTAATATTTTTGTTATAAAGTTTTGCCATAAAATGTTTTCGTAATATAAAGTTTTACTCCAGGATCACTTCCATGTTTCCTCTCAAAACCGCATTCGCAACTGAGATCAATGCGCCCAGGCTAATGTGCTTTTGTTGTTATTAGCCTTTACACAACAGTTAGTTCCGGCCACGCAAGCTGATTGGTTGAGAAGCGTTCTAACCGTGCTGTTACATCACAGGTTTTTCACAAACACTGTATCACTCCGCTGAGACGCCATTGTCAAGCAATGACTTTGACAGCTGTAGGAGCCATTTGAACGTTTTTACTTCTTACTTTGCACAAAAACAGAAAATGGATACTTTTAAGATCACGTTTGACCGACAGCCGATTTGGTCAGACTCTGAAGATGAGACGACACTAAATTCCCGAGCTGTCATCACCACTGAGCAGCTTTTCAGTCGGCGGCTGTGACAGAAGAACAGCTAAACAACCTGGAATCAGCCAGAAATGAACCCAACACCATTCGCCAAACTAAACAGGCTGTAAGATGCTGTACAGACTGGCTGGAACAAAACAACATTAATACTGATCAGCAAAAATTGACAAAACTGAGCTAAACCTGATATTGCAGCAGTTTTATGGCTCAGTCGGTACTTCAAAAGGCGAGGCTTACAGCAGACTGAGCAGCGAGTGAGCGGAGTTCGTTACTCTGATGTAATAACAAGCTGCTTGTTAAGGAACTATAATTTGGTGGAAGGAATTGCTAAGATGGAAACATATTAAATGCCGCGTTCACGACCCAGTTTATTTATTTCTTACTTTATTTATTTAACTGTTGTATAAAAGCAATAGAACACTCGAGGTCGTATGTTATCGCGAATAACATCACGGCTGTGATGATCTATGGCGACCAAATCACAGCCGTGATGTTATGTCGTGATAACACACTCCATCTCATGTTCTAATGCTTAAGTAGCTACAGCCATGCAACATGGCTAACACCAGCAGCAGCTCTTGTTTACAGGTTATTTTTACAGTTTTCTTGCCTTTTTTGGAAGATGGCAGAGAATGCAGAGGACCTCGAGAAACACAAATGAGATGCAGCAGCTTGAAGAAGAGCTGTAAGGAAAAATAGTACCCAAAGAAAACATATTTTTTCGAATTTAGCTGTATTTTCCCATTATCAGCGTGAAAAACGTACAAGACTCAAGTAAGTTCACTGGTCGTTTTGGATGGCAGATAAAATGGTTATATTTGTTGTGTAGACATAACGACGCCAGGTTCCTAGTACTACAACGCTGAACAATTTTGACTCTAAATTTCTCTAGAAACCAACCAAACCACTCTGAATTATTTTGTTTACATCTAAACCGTTGAATGATTAATTAATTTTGCAAAATCAGTTCAGTTCCCCTTTAAATTTGTATCCTGTATTTTGAATTGTTGAGGGTTAAATATTTAAATGTCATGTTTACACCTACAGAGCATTTCATGTGCTGGTTGGTGACGTCATCTTCCATCATATAACGATGGACAAACAAACAAGTAAACTCATTTGAGTCTTATTATACATCTTGATGACATGAAATTGGTATGCTGTGTTGTAAATATCTGTCTTAAGGACTCTTGGCCCCAGCTGAGGGTCAGGATTCCTGAGGGTCATTAAGCTGTGTCATGTTTACGCTTATAGAGTATTATATAGGCTAGTTTGTGCGCATGGTGACATCACCCCTCATTGCCACAGCCCTGAGCATCACTCTGGTCCTGAAGGCTGTGCGTTATGTTCTATTAAAAAGCGAATGAGTCATCAGAGGGGGAGGGACAGATGGGGGGAGCCAGTGAGGGCCTAGGGCTAAACTTGGCCTGCCTTGGGGAGGGTCTTTGGCCAGCACTTTCTGGACGCCTCTATCTGTCAGACTGACCGAGGTCGAAGCCCCAGCAGGCGTATAAAACAGAGGTGTGGGCCAGGAAACTTCAAGAACAGCGCGAGTAGAGGAGCAGATTAGTAGTTTTCCTAAGTTTCTGATTTCGCCTTTACGCACATTTTAGTCCGTGCGTAAAAACGCGCAAGAGGTCTTGACGCCAACTTGGAAAAACTCGTCTAAAGCTTCAAGAAGGGACACCTTTCGACCTTCAGTCCGGGTTACTTGAGGTCTTTCACACTTCCACCATGGCAGAGGGTGATTTCTACACGCTGGGCAGCAGGCAGAGGATTCCCAGAGACCCGTTCGCTCCACATTTCATGGACGACGATTTCAGCATGCCGGCTTTTCCAGACGACATGGCCATGGACTGGCCTGGCTGGGGGCTTCCCAGGATCACGAGTCGCCGCAGCGCGCCCTGGCCCAGCGGCCTGCGCTCCACTTTCACACCGCGGAGATACACGGAGCCCCCGCGCTGCCCCCCGGCCAGCCACCCGGACGAGCCGTGGAAAGTGTGCGTGAACGTGCACAGCTACAGGCCCGAGGAGCTCAGCGTGAAGACCAAAGACGGTTTTGTGGAGGTTTCAGGTGAGGGTACAGACGTGGAACGTCTTGCTTAATGGATGCGGGCTCTGATCTGGCCTAGTGATAGTGATGCATTTATTTCCAAAGCTCACTCTTCCATGACAGTGCCAACCTCACCATTATTAGGAAGAACAATAATGTACTTAAGTGGCACAAAGGAATCAAAGCAGAATTAGAAAATAAAATAGGTAACATCACTCTTAATTAAGCACAGCAGCAAATATATGTCTTTAAATTGTTTTTGAAAGCAACTGGCTTTGAATTTCATAAATGATAAGCAGCCATGGAAATGAGGCAGATCCTAAACGGGACCCTCAGAAATCATGACCTTCATCTTAGCTTGGTTTAAATGTCCTTAAGACTGACATTTACAATCATTACACCATATAATAAAGTTGCAATTAGTTCATTTTTTTGGTCGTTTGTGTTTGGAAGATGTCCTGGAAAATGATGTCACCTTGCACACCAAGCAACAACTTTAATGCCTGAAGACATCATAACAAGCATTATTGTCACTCTCAGCAGGGCAAAATCACTGGTAGGCCTTTCAAACTGACTGCAGATTGCTGTTTAGTGCAAGAGGAACCTAGGGGGAACCTGCCAGCCCCCTAAAATAAAGCAAAATACATCACCATTTCCATTTTCTAGGCTTAGTTTGGAATCACAGATCCACACGCAGCCATAGCACCTCTATCATGACTTGCACATTATGAAGGCTCACTTCACACCCACACACCTGCTGAGATCCCTTAAGAACATTAGTGCTTTAAACACGAGATAAAATTAGACCTCAGATGGAGAGTCCCGTCAGTCTGCCTTTAAACAGGGCCGGCCCCCTATGGCCTGTTTAATTCAAAGTGCGGATACTTAAAGCGACACTTTGGCAAAAATAAATAAATAAATAAATAAAATGAAAGTTCTCCCTTTCCCCAAATATAGTCAGTCAGCCCAAACGTTTCTGGTGTCTGAAGTTTGCTTTTTTAGTTTTGCTTTGGAGCTACAAGGCTAATGTAGCAAGTTACGGAAACTTGTACCTTTTGAGTTAGCAAACCGAATGCTTAAAACAAAATCCAGGCTTCCAGATGTCTGTTTTAGCTGTACTACAAACCAGTGCTACAGCCAGAATTTCATTTTAGGAGGGCCTGCTTACAAGTTAGGGGTTCAGCTAGCAAACGTCAAAGCCCAGAGACAATGGTATGGTGAGGATGACGTCCACCAGCTAGCCTTCATTTTGTACCCAGTTAAATAAAAGATGATTCATTTGCATTTAACTTACTAACATAACGCTTTTGTCGGGACAAAACCTCGTATCTCGAAAATGATAACTTTACAGGAGAAGGAAAAAACACACTTTTAACGTAAGTCAATGGAACCAGACTTTTTTCAAAGTCATTTTGGGCCGTTTCCATTCGTCATGAAATTTACACACAATATAAATTTTCAAACTTTGTCAGAAATGGAGATACAAGGTTTTGTTCCGACAGCAGCAATAAGTTATAACAACTGACAGAACACCACAGCTACTATAGGCCATTTAAACAGAGCTCTCAGCGAATGGTTGAAGATTGCAGTGTTCTCATGAGTATCTCACAGTACTGAACTTTGTTTTCTTTACCACAATCAACTACTATGTCTCGCTAACTAGATAAGTAGCAAATAGGTTGCACAGCTCAGCTAGCTTCCAACCATTAGTAGAAATGGAGCAGGATTACATGTTGGAGTTGAACTGACAGTGTCAGTGTGAACATTGCCATCATAATAGCAGCCACTGGAAATTTGTGATGCTTTAAGGAGGGCTTTATCAGTCTCTTTCTTTTATTTAAGGTGGAAAACATCATGAGAGTGCAAGGAAACAGCGCCTTTGCCCATGACTAGCTCACATTTTGTAATATTTTCATTGTCATTGTTTTTTTAAGAACCAGAAAGCCTGTCTTTCAGGTGGGAAGGCCTAGGCCCATCCCTTAGCTATGTCAATAAACATACGCATGCATTGTCAGAATCCACATAATCAAGTCTATTTGAGATTACTTAACAACTCAACCCAGTTTGAGCCAAGTGTGCATGCAGTTTGCACTTTGCTAAATAATGGGTTATACGCTGCTTTCTTTCAACTACTTATTAGTGTAATAGTTCCAGTGCAAAACTAAAGAAGTAAACTTGTGTTAATACGAGCCATCAAACCACCTTGGGAGCCACAACATATTATATCCATTTTACCATCTTGGCTGTAAATATGTCTCAGAATGTGCTAATGTTCAAGTATAGGGTAAAAAATATAGCATTAACCAATACACAGACTTACTTTACTCTGCTTTAAGCTTTAGCTGAGCTATAGCCGCTTTTCTCGCATCTCCAGCAGGAAACAAAAGTGGAATAGTTTCTTGTAAAATGTCTCTCAACGATTGATTTTTATGAGGCTGAAGTCGCTTCTCATTCACCAGCTTCAAGGTCGAATTTTCACGTTTCACCTTAAATGGTGTCTGACGTGCCAGAATGTAAGTGCTGCACCATTTAAGGTGGAACAGGAAAATTCGAAAAAGAAGCTGACGAATGAGAAGCGACTTCAGCTTCACGACTTTTTAGTGTTTGACATTGTTTATCATTACAGATTAAAAGTATCAGGAAACCAGCTGGAGTGCTTGTAAATGCAAATAAGTACATTCATCTCCAAATTACCGATGTTCGTCTTAAATCTTTCTCTTTGTCTTTTCATTAGCTACTAGCTGGGCAAGATTGTTGTCTGTGTTGCTATGTAACCAGCAGTCTGTGTGCCAACCTTCAGGGTTAAAGGGTGAATTAGCAGTTCTAGGCTACTTTAACTCCAGCGTTTAAGACCATTTACTGTTAAAACTGTGTTGAACGATCAGGAGAGCTTTATTTTACTGCAACAGAGGATCATTTTATTTTTACCTAAAGATCTAATTCCGCTGAGGAGCCGAAACAGGGCAGTAAAAGAGCCGCATGTTGGCGACCCCTGATTTGGGGACGAACTGTGTAAATGATATTTTGTGCCATACTGGCGCGTTAACCCGTGTTGTCCTTGGTTATATGTTTGTGAGGAGCTGCTGTGTTGGATCTGTGTTCGTCAGTCACACAGACGTGGTGAATGTATGTGTGAGGCAGCAGGGCTTTTTATAAGCACATTGTTGGTATGCCAGTTGGGTCATTCACTCAGAGCTGCTGGGAAGGTTAGAGGGGGGTGGGGGGTCTTCTGACGTCACTCAGCCTCTTTCTAAAAGTGATCTGGATAATGTTCTTGTAGCTGTGGCAAAGTGAGAGCTGCTCTTTCAACTCAGCTGAAAAGAGAGTGAAAGAAAGAAAGGGGGGGGGGAGGACTGCTCCATCTGAACCCCCTATAATAATAAGAGAGTAGAGTACAGTACAATACATTATAATAATCAGAGGTTGCTACAGTGGCCTAAAACCACACTCAGGTTAAAGTGTTGTTACTTAAGTGAGAAAATGACTCAATTAAAAGTAAAAAGGCCTTTTCTAATATAATGTGAAGTACAAAAGTAGAAGCTCGGAAGCTTATTATACTTATTACATACTAAGCCTTATTATTCAGTAAGTACAGGGAGTTCGGTGCAAACTGGTTGAGCTATTCTTAGATTATAGAAGTGTGTAATAAAACTTTGGGCCGACCAGCAGGCCCTGGCCATTTGAGGGCTTAAGCAGGTACCTTAACTTACAAAACACGCTATTAAATACTAATGCAATGTACAGAGAGAACGTTTTCCAACAGGCTGTATTTGTTACTGTGCCTTTAACACTGATATTTCTGTATATATCTATATATATATATATATATAAATATATATATATATATATATATGTGTGTGTGTATATATATATATGTGTGTGTGTATATATATATATATATATATATATATATGAGCTCTGTTGTCCTGCTCTGTGTTGTCATCAGTCCTGATGAAAATAAGTTAACTCTTCCTCTACAGAGAACATGCTTCTGCATGCTTTAATGGCACATTTGTTTCTTATATTTTTCCAATATGTTAAATTCAGGATATAAACAGAAATTTTGCACTAAAATTTGCAGAAAAATTCGATTTTTAGTGTGTAATAACCTATTTTCATTTAGAAAATCTACATTTAATTTGATTGGGGAGGGTCAAACTTTTGCAGATGACTGTATGTGTTGGGTTTTGTATTTTAGTTTTTATATATGGACGGAACAGACTGAACAGTGTGTTTTGACGCTTCAACAATGAAAAAGACGGATCAGTTATTCTAGAAAAATTGTTAACTGAATTAAATATAGAATAGTTATTTGTATCCGACATCGTGTTCGTGAGTAACAGTTTGGTCACACTGTTTGTTCAGTTTTAAAAAGAGGTGCGTTTATGGTTTGTACTGAAGTCATTCGGGTGGGATGGCTGGGTAGTGTGTGCGTGTGGGTGAGGGGGCTGGTGGTGGTTGGGGGTTGGGGGAGTGTACATATCTGAGTCAGGCTAGGGCCGGGAGTGGCACGATTGCAATTTAGAGACTAACAGCTGCTTAGAGGGAGAGAGAGGGAGAGAGAGAGAGAGAGAGAGAGAGAGAGAGAGAGAGAGAGAGAATACAGAGTGAGAGAGAGTGAGACAGAAAGAAACAGCGATAGAAAAAGAAAGCAAGAGAAAGAGATGAAGATCCTGAAGAAGAGAAAGATACTGAAAGAGAGAGAGAGAGGGGGGAATAAAGGAGAAAATGAAAGAGAAATCCAGAGAGTGAGAGAGACAGAAAAAAGCATGACGGAGAGAGAGAGAGAGAGAGAGAGAGAGAGAGAGAGAGAGAGAGAGAGAAAAGAAAAAGAAAATGTACTGTAATGTTTGAAATTTCTCAGATCAGTCAGTAAAATCAATGCTCTTCAAAACCTCAACTACTTCAGATGGAAACCAATGCCAGTGTACCCACGTGATACTCAGAAGCTGATATGTCAGCACTTGAGGCTATAAAAGTTCATTTTTGGATGAAGCAGAAAACATAAACAATTCAAGAGACGGCAAACGTGTCGTGCACTAGCCACTAATTTAGCCGCCAGTCATTATCGGCCATTTTATTCAGAGTCATGCCTGATTGATCTCGGTGTTAATGACTGCCGTGTCGTTCTCTCTGCAGGGAAACATGAAGAGAAGCAGAACGAGGGAGGAATCGTGACGAAAAACTTCACGAAGAAGATTCAGTAAGTTTTCCAGACGTTCAGAACTGAGACTGACAGACGGCCGCTTGTTGTTGGACATTGGTAATTCATAGAATTAGAATTGGTTGGTGCCCAAAAGGGTTATTTGGACCAAGGAGAACCACTTTTAATTCCTTCAAGAACCTTTAAAAAACCAGGGCCCGGATTCACGAAAGTGTCTTAAGAAAGAAACATTTTAAGAAACAAATTAGGAGAAATTGTTTTTCGTTGAATAACCTCTTAAGAATTTTCTTATTTTCTTAGCTATTTTCTCAAGAATGATTCTAAGAGCAAGTGGTTTCTTGAAAATATACTGTTCTTTAATGTTTTCTTAACCTTAAGACAGCCTCACACTCATCTTAGGCTGTAAAAGTTGACAAGGTGAGCATCTAAATTTATAACGGATGCTGCCTGTGCTGCTCCTGCCCATCCTAGTCCGTCATTGAACAATTATCATATTTTCCAGTGAGGATTTTTTTTCTGCACTGTTACAAATATAAAAAATGAAGGTACATTTTTGGTCCATCGAGGTACAAACAATGTAAATGTTCCCTCAAAGGTACAACAGTGGTTTTAAGGTCCAATTTTGAACCTTAAATAAGTTTTTTCCAGGTGAAAAGTTCGTATTTGTACCTTTTCGTAACCGAATGTTTTAAAACAGAACAATAAAATGAAAGCCTGGAGACGAGACGGGGTGTGTGGAGTCAGTACAGCTTAAAAAATATCATTTCAGTGGATTATGTTACAATTATTGTATCATGATAATATTATATTTGAGAACTTCTCAGTTTTTTATTCAAGAATTGCATTTAAGAACAATGGACCTCATTCATCAACCATTCCTAAGAAGAAATTTCTTCTTAAATCCCACTTACGCAGTTTTCATGAAGATTCTGACTTTCACCAGTGTTTTCTTGTCACTGGGGTGGAACCCTCATTGGTACATCTCAGTACCTTTAGTCAGGGAACATAACTGTACCATAATCCACTGAAATGGTATTTTCGAAGATGTACTGACTCCACACACCCCGTCTCGTCTCCAGGCTTTTATTTTATTGTTCTGTTTTAAAACATTAGATTATGAAAAAGGTACAAATCTGAACTTTTCACCTGGAAAAACTTATTTAAGGTTCACAATTGAAACCTTAAAACCACTGTTGTACCTTTGAGGGAACATTTACATTGTTTGTACCTTGATGAACATAAAATGTACCTGCACAGAACTCTTATGAACCTCTTAGTGTTTGTCTCAAGAACCTTCGCAAGTTTTTTCTTAAAAAAGCTTTCGTGAATCCGACCCCAGTTTTGTAAATAGAATGTCTAAATGTGAGCTTTAAAGAACCAACAGTTAATGAAGGACACAAACCAATTAAAGGTTTTTCCTAGAACCATATCTGCAAGCCAAGAACCATTTAGGAACGTTTATTTCTAGCAGTGAAGGAGAAAAAGAAAGAGCTGTTCTTCAGACTGTGTTCACACAATATTAAAAATGTAGAAATCACGTAAAAGTTACTAAATACCTTTAAAGTCAATGTGAATCAGAACACATTTCATCCCATATCATCACATATTTCACACTATCAGGGAGGGTCTCTGAGCTCGCGGAGCACTTTCTCTCGATGATAGGTGGGAGTGGTGGGAGGAGGAGGTGAAAGATGATATTAGTGGTATATTATTTTGTCCCGTCCACTGGTGCATGGTGATGTAATCAAAAATCAGAAAACGTTTTAGAGGTGGGAAAAAGTCTAATGAAAGACACAGAAAACGAATATTGATTATGTATATTATATGATTTAATGAGTCATGCTTAATACCAACAGAGACATGAACTAACAAACAAAAAGATCCGTTCGTGTCCATAGCACCCACAAGGAAAGCGGAATACCTGTAGCCATTGTTTGTTTATTCTTCAGTATTTCCTTGCAACAAACAAATATTCAGCTTTCTTAAACAACGTTTTTTTGACCATCTGACACAACAGCAGCCTCAGTTTAGCCATCTGGGCAGCTGCTGAGTCTCACTGAGCTGGAGCTGTGGGTGTTAGCTTCATGTTCGGAGTTTAAACCAGGATGATTATTAGAGCTGTAAGTGTTTTTAGCTTAGTTAACAAAAAAGCGTTTTTGATCTTTTCGGTCCTTTTTAATGTGGTTTCCCCAACAGCTGCTGAGAGGGAGGTGTGAATATTCAGCAGATACTACTCTCAACATACACATTAATTTGTGTGGTGTAACCCGTTTGATTCTGTAAAGCGAAAACCTGAACTTCATAACATTATGACCACCTCCTTGTTTCTATGCTCATTGTCCATTTTATCAGCTCCACTTACTATATAGGTGCACTTTGTAGTTCTACAGTTACAGACTGTAGTCCATCTGTCTCTCTGCATACTTTGTTAGCCCCCTTTTACCCTGTTCTTCAGTGGTCAGGACCCCCATGGACCCTCACAGAGCAGGTACTATTTGGGTGGTGGATCATTCTCAGCACTGCAGTAACACTAACACTGTGATCAGACACAGCAGTGTTGCTGGAGTTTTTAAACACTGTGTCCACTCACTGTCCACTCTATTAGACACTCCTACCTTGTCGGTCCACCTTGTAGATGTACAGTCAGAGATGATAGCTCATCTGCTGCTGCACAGTTTGTGTTGGTCATCCTCTAGTCCTTCATCAGTGGTCACAGGACGCTGTTGGCTGGATATTTTTGGTTGGTGGACTATTCTCAGTCCAGCAGTGACACTGAGGTGTTTAAAAACTCCAGCAGCACTGCTGTGTCTGATCCACTCAGACCAGCGCAACACACACTAACACACCACCACCATGTCAGTGTTACTGCAGTGCTGAGAATGATCCACCACCCAAATAGTACCTGCTCTGTGAGGGTCCATGGGGGTCCTGACCACTGAAGAACAGGGTAAAAGGGGGCCAACAAAGTATGCAGAGAAACAGATGGACTACAGTCTGTAAGGCCCTGGCCATTTAAGGGGTTAAACAATCCCAAAATCCCCAAAAAAGCACCCCCACTTCCTGCGTCCCTGCTAAACGGTGCAGTGTGGGAGACTAAAATAGTCAGATCCAGTGTATTTATAGCATGACACAGCATCTGTTGTGGCACTGGCGCAGTGCTGCCATTAGGCCAGAACATTTCTACAGATACACATAGGCTGCCTTCTGCTGAGTTTTCTTACCTCCACCATGCTGTATGGAAAATGCTGCGCAGGCCTTGCTTTATAATATGACAGTGTTTCATGCGCCTGACATTTTCTGGCTTAATTTGAATATCTGGTTATAACGCCCTCTTTAGTTAACCCTTAGAAGACTGGCCAAAATGAATAATTTAACCATTACTAGATCTGTTGTAAGTGTGTAATGCATGGTGGGTATTGTAGTGAAAGAACACTGATGAATGAAAACATGAGGCTGAGGGTTATAATGCGGAACAGAATACTGCATAACGCAACAAATAGCATATTAAACAAAAAAATAACATATAAATACCATTTTCTGGCCTAAAACACTCATGAGTGACGTTTACATCTGATTTCTGTTTTGGCAAGTTTGAGTCTGCTTAAGACTTTTTTGTTTAAATGTCATAAATGAGACAAAAATTTGGCAAAAACAGTTTTTTTCTCTATGCAAAACAAAACTGAACACAGCAATAAATACATCAAATTCAATGAATTCCTCTTGTTCGTCTTCCTACTTGTTTCAATGAGCTACAAGTGAGAAATAATAAAAAATTACGCTGTAAAAAGTGGCTCGTCAGATCTACCTAAAACAATTACTTAGTATGGTAACAAGTAGTTTTGTTCAACCTAAATAGATACTTTGAATGAATGATTCTTTCAGTCAGTGTAGTTTTTTGAGTTGAATAAAACTTCTTCATTTGCTTTTTACTGCACAAAGTAGTTTTTAGGTAGATCTGACGAGACACTTTTTACACTGTTACGCTTTTACTCATGCAGGCAGTAACTGTGACTGAGGGTTAAATGTTGGAATAGAAAACAGGCGCATCTCTGATCTCAGGCGCTCTTCAGAGACGTCTCTGTGCGTCGGCTGCATATCAGCCGTGTCTCTGTCCGTGCGTCTGAGTCGAGTGTGGGTGGAGAGTCACTCCGTCTGTCTTTATCATCACAGAGAACGACCAAATAGAAAAAGACCTTTTCAGGTTGAGTCAGTCTATTAGTCCTGTCTCTCTCTCTCTCTCTCTCTCTCTCTCTCTCTCTGCTCGCTCTCATTTTGTCCTGTGTCCTTCTCTATCTCATAAACTGTCTCTTTCTTTCTCTCTTTCTATTATTTCTTCTATCTCTGGCTTTTCTCCTCCTCTCTCTCTCTCTCTCTCTCTCTCTCTCTCTCTCTCTCTCTCTCTCTCTCTCTCTTCCTCTCTCTGTGTTGCCTTCTCGTTTCCTTCTCTCCCATTCTTTCTTTTTGTCTCCCTCACTTTCTTTCTCTTTTTGTTTGTCTCCTTTTTATTTCTGTCTCTCTCCCTTTCTCTCTTCTCTCTTTCTCTATTCTGCCTCTCACTTTCACTCACTCTTTCTGTCTTGCTCTTTTTTATCTCCTTTCTGTCTCATTTGCTTTTTTCTTTCTTCTCTCTGTCATCCTTTCTGTCTTTTCCTATCTCCTTTTGTCTTTTTTCTTCTCTCCTTTTCTTTCTTTCTTTCTTTCTTTCTTTCTTTCTTTCTTTCTTTCCATTTCCTATCCCTTTCTTTTTCTTTTTTCTTCTCTCATTTTCTTTCTTTCTTTCTTTCTTTCTTTCTTTCTTTCTTTCTTTCGTCCTCTCCATCTCCTTTTCTTCATTTTTGCCTCTCTCTCTCTCTTTCTCTATTCTGTCTCTCACCTTCACTCACTCTGTCTCCTTCTCTTTCTTTTTTATCTGCTATTTGTCTTAATCCCTTTTTTCTTTCTTCCTCTTGCTGTCATTTTTTTCTTTGTATCTTTTTCCTCCCTTTCTTTCTTTCTTTCTTTCTTTCTTTTCTATTTCTCTCTCTCTCACGCCCTCCTTT